AATCCAAAAATTTATCATCAGAATAATGCAAATGTGGATAAGAGATTCACTACGATAAATGGATTAAGAACAAATAAAAATAAAACCCCTGAAAGCTGCATTACAGTCAGAATTTGCAAGACTATCTGAGACCTTGCTCCAGGCTCTAGGATCCATCACAACATAGAAAAATATTAGATTTCAATGCCACACATAATATCCACAGCAATGGAGAGTGAGGAAGGGTAAAAAAAATGAGAAGATTTTAAGTTGTGATTTAGCCACATTGAGGTATCTAAAGATCTGTTAACAGATGTGAGGTACACAAGGCAGTATTTCAGATGGCACAGAATGAGGCTCGCAGAGTTACAGACAACAGAAAGGCAGCTAAATTTGTATATGTAGGTATCAAGAAGTAGCTGACAGCAGAAAACTAGCATGGAGGATACTCTGCTCAGAAATATTGAAGAAAGAGTTTTAAAAATTACATTCACATCTACAGTGAAATAGATATTTTAGATATATTTTATTTATTTATACTTATTTATATTTATATTCAGATATATTTTAGATATAAAAGTACTGGAAACATAAGAAATCAAAGTGCTTGCTCCCAACACTCTGATCACAGAGAGAAAGGAAAATATTTCAGGCAACATTTTCTAGCCCCAGCCATACACAGCCATCTTAGCACTTCTGCTACTTCCTTTAACAAGTTAGCCTTATGCAAATACAGAACACTGGCATCTGAAATCTCAAATACTTCACAGAGTTATTGCTGTTTATCTGTGAGATCTGAGATTATATAAAATGGATTTCAACCAGTGTATGCTGGTATACTCTAATGAAGTCAAGGGAGTTAATGTAGCTTTTCTCATAGTTTATATTTAAACCATGTCAGCTGTGGCTTAAGTGATACAGTGGATCTACACCAAAAGGTATCTCCTGAAAAACACAAAATTCGAGAATGAGCAACAGAACAAGAAGTCTGCAGCTCAGATTGAATTGCTCCTGAACAGCACACATAAATTAAGGCATATTTTACAGAAATGAGTGCAGATTTTCTGATGCTTTGTGTGGGATCTTAACTACCTATTCTGACTTTGTATCTATGGAGAGTCAACAGGTAAACTGCAGTTGAAATACCTACAAGTACTGAATGCTGTCTAAAGCAACATTTGAAAAGATTGCTCTGCTTTGGTTTGCTTTCAGAAAAGATACTGCAATATTTCTCTGTCATACAAAGGCTGGCTTTTCTCTCATCCCTTGTCATTCCTTTCAAATGATCAGAGAAATTGCAAGTGACATCGGAACTGCTGTGTTGAGCCAGTATGAGCAGGATATTTCTTGTACTTGGCTGATTCTCCTGAAACCAGACGGGATAAGCTTAGAGCTACCTTGCAACAGCAATAGGCAAGCTCACTGCCAGCAGCAGCCAGACTAATCAACCTAAGCTCTTTCCTTTTTTACCATGAAAAGCAGAGAGCACTTATAAAATTTTATTTATGAATTATTACTCAAGTTCCTATAGCTGGCAAAATAAATCATACTAATAGACGTTTTTTAATACTTAAGTATATTTCATAACGAAGAAAAAGCAATATTCAGAATTACTGAAGGAATATTTACTCAGCTGCTATAAAAAAAACAGTCTCCAAACACTCATATAGTTAATGGCTAATTAAATCTGGCTACTTTTAGTGTTGACAGGCACCAGAATTATTAAAATCTATCTTTCCTAATTAAAAAAAAAAAAAAAAAAAAAGAGTGAGTTGGGGAAAAAAAAATGTCAGTAGTGTTCACTCCAAAGAAGATGCCATACAATAAGTTACAGGTGATAATCAAAGGCTTGCTGATACTTCTGTTCTAGTTTCCAAAGCACTGTTCCTACCACATGAAAGAAAATGGAACCCATTTTCATAAAATGCACATTCTGGACTCTCCAAAAATCTGCAGGGCTTGCATGCTGGGCCCACACAAAGTTATGCAATTTCATAAATTCTCAAAAGTGGGAAAAAGCAGTCATGTTATTCCTCTGAATCATTAATCACAAAGATTACACACAAAGATATAATCACAAAGAAATATTTCTCTTCAAACATGAAAGGAATTCCAACCAGAACTGCCAGATCATGAAAGCTGAGGTGCTCATATGGTTCTGCCACAGACAGCAGAGGAAGACATCTGTAAATAAAGTGGTGTATCAAAGCACAAAACACTGATGAACACAGAAAGACTGGGTAATGAACACAGGGCAGAGAAAGATCATGAGGTTCATAGGCAACATAGGTGGACATCATTTACACACAAGGGCCATATATCAGGCTGTACTACCTGCACCTTGAGAGTGTTTTTTTGTTAGTTTTTGTTGTTGTTGTTTGTTTCTTTTGTTGTTTGTTGGTGATTTTTTTTTTTAATGTTAGTCCTAGCATGAAAGAAAAGAGAAAAGTACTAAGAGTACATTTTCATTAAGTGCTCAACAGAATGAGCTTCCACATAGAGAAAGACAGGCTCAAAATATTTATCATATGTCTAAATTCCATTAAGAAAATCCCGGACTACTGCAAAGCTTTTGGGGATCAAGACTTTGGCCATAAAAATGCACTTAAATGGTAGTTTATATGACTGCTGCAGGATGCATGGTGCAGGATAGCTTTAAAAAATAAATTCAAAAATCTTTAGGCTTAATGAGTATTAGAAGCCTAAATACTTCACTGATCTTAAACACTTGTTAAGAATATTTACTCAGGCTGTAGATGCCTAGAGAGACCACATGCTGCAGGAAGACATCTTTTATGTATGGGGTGCCTATAGCATCTAGAATTTTATGTAGATCTTTGTTAAATTAAATAATGAAAGCCAGACTCCAAGAGTCTTTAAAAATAAATTCTAATGAATGTCATACATATACTTAAAATCTCTGTTTTATGAAAGTGAAAGAGTCTATTTCATAGCAAGAGGAAAATAAAACATATTAGAAAAAATAAGTCAGTTTCTTCTCATAATGAGTACCTTTTAAAGCTTTCATAGGAACATATTCCCCTGATATCATGCTACAAACTTATTGTTCCAAAGAAAAAAAGAAAAGAAAAAAAAAAAAAACCACCCTCTCTACATCGTGCCATTTTGTTTCTAAACTAAAAAGTTAAAGGTTATCATTTGACAGAGTGAATTAACATATCTGGGACATAATTAATCCAAAGGGGAATCACAGAAATGTGTTCTCACATAAAGTAATAAAATGAGTGCTAAGGACAGCAATGGAAACCGAAGCAAATGTTGGAATATTGGGTAACAATCACAAACAATATTAACGCCAGGAAAAGCGCCTTCTTAATGAAACATCTCACATAAAGAGAGCTTACAAGGTTGCATCTGCAATTATTTTTTGCTGACAATGTTTTTCCTAGATTAAAGATATTTTTGTGGGAAGCTTTAATAAATTCACATTTATTTATTTATTTATTTATTTATTTATTTATTTTTAATGTTTGATTTTTTAGTGATATTAGACGGTTATACAATCCAGGTTCCTAGATTCCAAGCTCAGAGAAAGCAATTGCTAGTTTATAAAGGAAACTTTTACTGTTTGCTATGTCTCTATTAGAAGTAGAAACCTGTCCACACGTCTTGCTCCTACTCTAAGTTCCATCAGAGGGGATACAATGGGGAGAAGTAGAGAAGAAAAGATGGAGTAGGAAAACAGATGAAGCCAGAGGAAACATTTACACTGAACATCAATATATCTCCCCACCCCTTCTCCCTCCTGCTTTTTCATGCAGTTCTCTACATACAAACCCTGCTTGAGACACAGACTCAGCTGATGATAATCCTAAACTTGGTAAATTGTTATGCTGGAATGAATGCCCATATCAGCATCTTGCATTTTTAACAACTTCATCCCTACTAAGTACCATCAGTCTTTCTTGTCTGATATCTCATCTCTGAAAGATTATATTCCCCACCTGAGCATGATGACACATGTGCAACTCACACATTTTCAATATACTTCTGGAAATAGCATCATTTTGCCAAATGCTCAGAAGTTCCCTCTACTGGCATAGTTTAACATACCTGGAAGAAAAGGCCCTTCTGCACACAAATGCAAAACTGAGCAATTCTGTAGGGAGGTGAAAATGAAAAAGACAGGAGAGGGCTGAGCACAAACTCATCCACGTGCCAGTCCCAGCCTCATTCCTTCTGCTTCTGAGCTACTTAGAGGAGACACTGCCCTCTGCACTGTCCAAGAGAAGTCATGCAGCCAGGCCTCTAACACATCAAACTCAGACAGAAATGAAAAAAATTCTAGGCGATTTCGGAAAGGCCACAGGCTCAACTTCCTCACAAGTGATGTTTGTGTCACAAGGTCACAGTTTGTATCAAACAATGAGATCTAGCCTCAGCAGATCCCCCCTGGAAATTAGATGAATTGCACTGTTTAACTTTTGAAGGAATCAGTTACGCATACACACTGAGGATGACCCATGATATCAAATAAGTCATGAAAGAAGGAATACAACTGAGTTTATTTCAATTGCTTTTTTTTTCCCAGTGAACTGAATAAATAAATAAATACAGTAACAATAGTTTCATTCATAAATGTTGGGTCAAACATTATTTTTCCAAATCCCTAAGGAGCAGCTCTGGGAAATATTGCATGCTGAAACAGAGGTAAACCAAGTATAGATAAATACAGTCAAAATGTTTAACATGTGCCAAAATAAGCTCCCAAAGCAATGCCTTCTGTATGGTCTCATTTTTAAAAACAAGTTTATTAAAATAAGTGGACTGGACTGGATGATCTTTTAGATCTTTTCCAACCTTGGTGATTCTATTCTAATTTCAAATGGCTAGTCTAAATTTGATTTTGCAATAATCATAATTATATCAATTATATCCAACATCATAAGAATACGTATTAAGAAATAAAAAAAGCTTATCTGAATACGATTAGAATTACTTCATAATACTAGCCCGCAGCATCTCTCTGATAATGTTTTCTGTCAATAATCTGAACTTACCATATTGATTGGGTCAACTGGGCCAATGCTGTTAACATAGACATCTGTTTCAATTACAGTTGTTCTCACTAAAAGAAAAAAAAATCAGCAACCTTAATAATTACATATTCAATTTATTTTCCACATTGATAGCGTATTTTATTAAAGTAATGATAAATCTGATATTCTTTTATTAGATTCAGAAAGATTACATCTCTAGTTTGTGCATTCTGTGAAGAATCATATATGACATGGCTTCTTTATTCCATATGAATTAGCTAAATTGTCAAGATGAATTTTTCGTATCTTAAGGCACACTCCATCTAAACTTTGTGAGTTAGGCATAAGATAGATACAAAAAGTATCAAAAGCAAAGGAAGTGGGGAGAAAAACAGATTATTCCAGCATAAAAAAAAGAACTAACACAACAGAAAAAATGTTCAGAAAATGAACATTTGTACAGTAAAACCAGACAGTCTGGGAGCAGACGTTTACCAGCTGCAAAAAATCAATATGCAGCATTTCCTACTGAAAATATCTAACAAAAATAAAATAACTTTTAATCACATATTTCTTCACACAATTACATTACAACTATGAATTTCCAATATACTTTCATCAGCTTCATCAATATATTGCTCCACACAACTAACTGAAAGATCCAGTTTAGGCAACCTGCTTTGGCAGGGGGGTTGGTCTCGATGATCTCTAGAGCTCCCTTCCAACCCCTACAATTCTGTGATTATGTGATCTTCAAGAAATTCCAGTAAAATTATTGTTTCTGAGCTGACAAAGTTAATTGTTTTACAAATACATTTTTTTAAATGCATTTACAGAAAGACACAAAGTCTAAGCAAATTTCTGAGCAAATGAAAGTCACATCTGATGTGTGAGTCACTGATAATTTTGTTGTTATATCCAAGCTGTTTATAGAGGAAAAAAGACACAAATGGAAGAGGTCAGGATGTGGTATTGGAGAGGTCTGCATTTAAACAACATCAATTTACCAAGCACTTTTTTTCCAGATTGTATGATAGACAGAATAGCAGTGAATGAATACAAGAGGGTTAATTCTGAAGCTCTGCTGGTCTTTCTCCCATGATCTAGCACTTTAAAATGAAGTCCCTCTGTTCATTTGTAGACAGAAAGGGGGAAGGTACAAGAAAAATATACTTCGATTTTATAGAAGAGGGATTCTCCATCACCAGATTTGATTTCTTCACTGGCATGCCATATCAAGCCTTTTATAAGAGATGTAAAATCTTAAGTAACACAGGATTTTTCAAACCTCAAAGACCTAGAACTCAAAAACACAGAAAGAAATAGGGTATCATTAACAACTCTGCCATCTATGATAACAGGCAAGATACATTTCCTAATTATCCACAGATACCTTTTCCCTGCCAATCTCACTTGACAGGAAATTATCCCTGATCCCAAATCTGATTACTGATTCCTTGAGCTTGTGACTAAGACACACCAGTCAGGCTGCACAAACGGTTTTCTGTACAACCACAGAATGCCGAGTCACTTGATCACTCTCCTGTCTCCAGTGTTCTCCACAGAAAGTTTAAATGGACTCTGGAAATCAATTTCCAGAGGAGGAAAAAAAAAAAAAAAACACTCCCTGCGCTGCAAATGGCTTCAATATGCAGGTCTCAGAAAGGAAGTGGGAGAGCACAATAATTCAAATGCTCAGAATGAAATATTAAAAATAAAAGTATGTGTATGTATTTGTGTGCATATGTATAATGTAACATACTTTACACATGCCACATCTCACAAGTACATATCCACTGCCTTTTATTTTGCGAGTTTATTTATCTACATAACAGAAAAACTCTCCAGTTTAATCACTGCCAGACTAGAACACAAGGGGCTGGATCAAAACATATCTTTCCTCATTGCTCAAGCAATGCAGAATCCAGTACTTCTCCCCTGCATTGTAGGGAATAACTAGTTCTCCTTAATGCTAGGAAACTGTGTTTTGTTTAGAGGTTCAGTTCTTTGACTAACTTTCAGCATTACCTAGCCACTATACTAAACCTGTTCCTCAGACACAAGTATCTGTACAGAATGATTGAGGTCACCTCTCAAACTTGGATATGATAAGCAGCTCATATCACACATTGAAAATGCAACTTGTGGTTTATCTGTTCAGCTTTAACATCTAAACTTTCACTATTTTTCCACACTCATCTTGAAATTTGGACACCAGAACCAGCATTCTTTCTAAACAGTACTATCCGCGCCTCGTGAACACTTCTAGTTTTCTATTAAAATGCCTCTTTTCAGAAGGGACTTACCTCAGAACAGTCCTCTGGGAGATATCTACCTAAGACCTCACTACACAAAATGATTAGATTTTCTCCTGAATTACCACTTTTCTGTGAAGAACCTCTCACATTGAAATATAAGCCATGGGCTTTCTTTCCACATTTTGTCTTACTTTTTTTTCCCCTACAATCAGCCTTTATCTGTATCTCTAATTTTACTGAAGGAGGGGATTACTCTGCAAATGCAATTTCTCTCTTGCCAACATTCTTTGTGCTGTCTGCCAAATTTACTACAAAAATTCATTGGTGAAATCAGGCAAGATATCATTATTCTTGATCGAGTCATGCTTGTGAGATCCAACAATAGACAACCCTACCATTGATATTTCCTTACTAACAATTAAATTTTGAGATCTGTCAGTGGGCCAGTTTTTAATATGGACTGTGTCAATTTTATGAAATTCCAGCATGCAGGAAGAAGTACTTGATCTGCCCCAAAGGCTCTCCTGTAACGTGCAACCGAGTTCAATTTGCCTTTTCTATACTGCTCTGAGTAAGATTATTAGAGCTACCAGGAGCCAGTGAAGGGTCAGAAAATCCACCTCTGTGGAGATTATTACAATTGACCCAAATAATACAGAGTGGCAGATTCAGTGCAGTAAGATTGGAAGGGGCTGTTTTGTTTCCTCAGTTCTGTGCAGAACCAATCCCAGTGCTTCTGTGAATTAGAAGAATTCGTTCTACATGTGTTTGTGAACTTGAAGTAATATGAGCCTGTGAAAATGATAAAAGCTGGAAGAAAATACAATCTTGATACTAATTTGACCTCCAAATAATTACTATGGCTCTTTAGCTTTCCACAAAGAGAAACAGCGATAGATGGTTTGGAAAGATATTTCCCCTTATTTTATTTAGGAAATGTAGTAACAATCTTGAAAAAAAAACTACGAGTAGGAAGAAGGCTATTTTACAAACCCTGAGTGCAAAGTGGTACAGTAGACCTTATAAATTTCTAAAGAAGAGGGGAAAATGATAGCCCACTTTAAATATTTGCACAGAAAGAGGCAAGAGTAAAGCAAGGTGAGAGAACAGTAGTACTCCCTGCACATTAAATAGGTCAGTGAAGAGCACCATTCAGCTGCCCCCAAGAGTTCATCAACTCCCAAAGTAACTGACACATGCAAGGAACTCCTACAGTATGCCTGATATGAAGAAATACACTCATACTTCTGATTTTCCACTTTGTCACATTTTCTTCACTAGAATCATAGAATCATTTCAGTTGGAAGGGACCTTTAAAAGTCATCTAGTCCAATTCCCCTAAAAGGAACATGGACACCTACAGCTAGGTCAGATTGCTAATAGCTCAGTCCAGGCTGACATACATAGAAAGTCTCCAGGAACAGAGCATCCACCACCTCTCTGGACAATGTGTTCCAGTGCTTCATTAGCTTTACTGTAAAAAGCTTCTTACTCATATCCAATCTGAATCTTCTCTTTTTTAGTTTGAAATCACTTCCCCTTGTCCTATCACTGCAGATTCTGCTTAAGAGTCTATCCCTTTCTTATAGTCTCCTTCTAGATACTAAAGGTAACTGCTACAGGTCTCCCTGAAACCTCTTTCCAGGCTGAACAGTTCTGAGTCTGTCCACACAGGGGAGACATTCCATCTCTTGGATCATTTCTGTGGCCCTCCTTTCGACATACTCCAATAGGTCCATGTCTCTCCTGTACTGAGGACTCTATATCTGGACACAGATATGACTCCAGCTGAAGTCTTGTTGGTGCAGAGCAGAGGGGCAGAATTAGCTCCCTAACCTGCTGATGTATTTTTTGCTGACATTTTTTTGATTTTTTTTGATGCAGCCCAGGATACTGTTGGCTTTCTGGGCTGAGAGGACAAATTACTGGCTCACGTCTAGCCTGCCATCCACTCCAGGTCCTTTTTTGTAGGGCTGTGCTCAATCCTTTTGTGCTTCAGCTTGTATTGATAAAGAAAAGGTCTCTTCTTTAGGAAATTTAACTGGTATTTGACATCATTTAACACAAGCACGTAGCTAAGGACAGGCTTGATCTCTGGAAAGAAGTGACTCTTATGCCTGAAGTTTAAGAGCGAGAATGAATGTCCCCACAAGAAGCAAGATATGGAAAGAAGTGTTTCTTGCAAGACATGACCACTGCTTCCCTAGCAAAGAATGATACTGAAATCCTCAGGCATATTCTGAACACCAATTTGGGTTCAAAATCTGTATTTTGGAAAATGTTAACTATGGATTAGAAAAATCACACTGGTACATATCACTCAATCACTGACAAATAATTTTAATAATTTAGCTCTTACTAAAAAAGAAGTATTTTCAATAGCCTGTATTTAACCAGGTCCAATTTTCAGCCACTGATATTTGAAATCTCTCTGCTTGCTATGTGGAAGACCTCTCTTTATCCTGACAAAAAATATAGTCTTGAATTTAAAAGAACAGAATATTGCCCTTTTTACTGCTGAATATTTCTCCATTTTCATTATTCTAGTCTTTAACATTACCTGATAGCAAATTAGTGCATCTAAATTCACTAATTTGCTCATTTAACTTATCAAAAACGTGCATTTTAGAATGAAAGTCTAACACCTATCTTTATTTATCAAGATTTTTTAATTTAAACAAATTTAGTTAATTTCACCTGAGTTTTTTTTTTTTTTTTTTTTTTTTTAAGCAAGATTTCTGTAACTCCTCAATAATTGCCTAAAGTAATCAATGATAAAGCAGCTATTCAGCAAAGAAATTAGGTGATGACCACATTCAAGAATAGCAGGGTCTTCAATGCTTCAATACTACTTCAATAGTATTTAATATAACAATACAATTCTGGCAATAATTTATCTAAGAGTATTATTTATACAACTACCTGCATTAAAATTCAGCTTCAGATGACTACAGCAGGCTTCCAGCTCTATCTCTAAAGAATTTTTTCAAAGTGATTTCAATGAAAGTAGAACACTGCTCTTCACTCTTATATCTTTTTTGATTTAAAAAGAAACCCATCTCTAGCCCACCATTTTTTTTCCATCATTTTCTATGCAGGGCACACATCAAGTACTTTTAAAATTCACTGCAGATGTTCTTCTATATGTTGCTTTTTTATTTCAATTTTCTTCAATTCATGTAAAAAATTCTTTACAAGAGTAAATCCCTAGTTTTACCTGCTATTTTTGTGCTTAAATGAGTTTATTATTTTTCTACCTACATCATTATTTTGTTTATGCTATACTAAAAGCACCAGTTCAAGACAATATCCCCTAATATCTTTATCTTTTCAGAGTTAGCACTTCTATCAGTCTCTTGAAAGTTCACTTTTCGCTCTTGCAGTTTTTAATACCTCTGAGTACATAACTTCACATTAGTGCACTGAGATGCACTAACGTGCCTTGTTAACAGGATAATTACAACTATTCAAATTTCTCCAGGTAAAATTTTCTCTTAGGTTTATGAGCCATCATCTTCATCATTCTTAAAAATTATATCAATAATGTCTTTCCTCATGTTAATGATTGAAAATGCTACATTAGAGAACTAATGTGATTACTCCTATTTCTAACTGAACTTTCAGACGATCAGTTGTGTTTCATTCATGTAATACATGACATTGGACATGAGACATAGCTGGAAAAAAATATAGATTGATAGACTAACAGTAATATGCTAGTATCCCTAAGTTGTGAGGGATGGAATAGTGAGCAGAGAGAGTTCTTTCTCTTAAAAAGAGAGTTTAAAACTGCTGACTTGATCGAGGACTGAAGCTAAAACAGTGTGGCTATAAGTTATATACATATGTATATATATTCTTACCTTATAGTAAGTATAATATTGTTTTGTTAATATATCAACACACCAAGGTTGTATCAGTAATTAAAAGGATTTATACTACAGATCAGAAACTCCAGGTAGTAACTGCTACTATTTCACTGAGCAGAATGTACTTTAATAATAGTATATTTGTACTCCATACATATAAAATATGTTGCATATAATGAGTTAAAATCTAATAAATGTAATAAACATAGGAAAGAGTAACAATTAACAAATCAATACAACTCATGGATATTAGTATGAGACACACAAAATGACACAGTGTGGTTTTCTGAAATTTCAGTATTGCAAAGGATTTTTTAATTTTCAGTTGGCTCTCCTTTATCACGTCACTCTGCTATTCAACAATGAAGCCCCTTTTCCTACTCTGACATGCTGTGTCAACATGAAGAGGAAAATTAAATTTGACGCTGTTATTCAAACCCCAAAAGCCCAGGCTCAAAAATATACAAAAGTCTTGCTATTTTAACTGAGCTTTGTAATTCAGTAATAACATTGCATGGAAAATTATTACCTTGAAAGATAATTATAATTTCAGTCAATAACCTCATTGTAGAAGTACTAGCATACTCTGAAGATGTGTAATCTGACACTAGATTTTATCCACATAATTGACTCAGAATAAGATGAATGTGCCACAGCCTGATTTTATTTTTCTGTGTTAAATATCTGCTGTTAGATATCTCAAACAGCTGGACAGAATGTGATACCTGTATTTAAAGCTGTCATTTTGTCTTATTTTTGCCAAAACTCTGCAACTTTCTCTCTATAGAAAAAGAGAGCCAGACTTCACATTTGCTCTCCTGGCAACAAAGTGCCTCCTGTTCTCATTACTCTAGCCTTTCAGTACTTGGGCAGAGGCAGGTTCCGAATAGAAAAGGTCAAAAACTGAGCGTCAGGAAAGTGAAGAAGAAAAAGTAAGGGAGCATTTATGCGAGAGCAGCTAGAAGCCAGAAAGTACTTTCTTTCAGAAATAATAACTCTATCAATAATTGAAATCCAGAAAGCTGTACATTCAAGTACGCAAAAAAAAAGACTCAAAGTTTTTGTTCAACCAAGACTCAGTGCATAATCAACAAAGCAAAGGTAAGGATAACATCAAAAATTTTTGGTGTCCCTCTAAGTCCATTGGACATCTAAGAATGAACTCCTCTTCCTTTATTGTCCCTTTTTGCATTTCAGAGTTTTAAGGGGAGAGAAAAGTATTCACATTACTTTCATCCCTGCATACCAGCTAATTATTAGAAGGAATCCTAGTGGAGAATTTTATTCCCTCATTATTCTTTTGTTGTCCACTGCATCAAACAATCTGAAAAAAAAAAAAAAAAAAAAAAAAAAAGAAAATAAAAAAAATATTTCATAAGCTGAGAAATTAAGAAAAAATATGCTGGAAGACGTTTTTTTGTTGTCTGTTCACAGTAATTCATTAAGTGGAGATGAAGGAAAAGACAAGGGAGGGCCTTTCTGTAAAGGGCTGGTAGCAACAGGGCAAGGGGAAATGGCTTTAAGATGGAAGAGGGTAGAATTAGCCTAGATATTAGGAAGTAGTTATGTACTGTGAGGATAATGAGACACTATAAAATCTTGCCCCAAGAGACTGTGGATGCCCCTTCCCTGTAGGCATTCATGGCCAGGCTGAATGGAACTGAGCAACCTGGTCTGAGGGAAGTGTCTCTGTCTATAGTAGGGGGTTTGGAACTAGGTGAACTTAAAGGTCCCCTGCATTCTATGATTCTATGATAAACTTCATGAGATTCCATACTGTGACAGGAAAAGAAAAATTTCCATTCAATATGTTCAGGATAACAGTCAACAATAAAATAGAACTAAGAAACTTAGGGAGGGAAAGAATTTTTCAGAAGCTTTAAAAAGAAAATACTTAATCTGAGATTGCATCCCTTTGTTCTCCTATCTAAATAAAAATGGCTAGATTGCACTACTGTTTATTGTATAAGTAGCTTATAGACTTACACTGCATTCCTTTCATAGGGAACACCAGGCATTAAGCAAATAATTTTGTCTTCCACCTCTCTTTGTGGTTCAGAAAATAAACTTAAGGAAAACATTTTTCTTAGTTTGATTCAGCAAGCACATGGTAGATGACAGCTGGTAACTTTTTCATGTATTCCAGGACTTCAACATTAATATTTGAAAGTATTAATACTTAACAGTTGCATTTAAATTGACATTTTGATTTGTGAAAGACAAAATTGACTTACTACTAGCTGCAAAGTTTAAATTACAGTAATGCAGTCTTCCATCCTATCATTCTCCAGAAAAGCTACTGCTCTAAACTGACTTCGTAAATTCTTGCAAAGTTTTTCAAAATTTGAACTAAAGAAAAATGAGTGCTAAATTAAGTTATATCTCTATAAAATACACACATAGTGCATTTTCTAACAAGAGAGAAAAAACGTCTAGGAATAATACTTTAAACTCCTGCAGACTCAATTTTTCTTTTTTTCCAAAATTGAGATAATTAATATATACACTAATATTTGTCAGAAGGTCTTAGAGTAAAAAGACAATATACATTTATCTTTTAATGATGTATTATATACATTGCTCATTTTCCCCTCAAAATAATCCATAAGGAAATGATTATAAATATAGCATAAAAATTCTGCTTATGGACAGATCATAATTTTTACAAGTTTTAGAACAACACTGTATTTTATTGATGTTATACTTAGATTACTATTTTAATTTAAAAAAAAAAAAATCATTTGTCATCACTGGCAAAACATAAGTGAACTTTGCTTCACATCTTCTATTTAGTGAATTATTTCAAGTGCTTACCCCCAATATCTGGCCGAAGCTTATTGTCATATCCTTGAAGTAATGAGTCCAGTATATGAGTCACATCCCCGCCATGAATCTTTGGTGCTAGGACCCATGTTTTATTCACAGTTAAGTCTTCGTCATCTTCATCATCTGCTTTATCAGCTCTAATAGTGATTGAATTAAAGAAAAAAAAACAAGCTTAGAAAAAAACAGTGAATCAAAATAATCAAGAGATGAAGAAGAAATTGGAGAATACCAAGCACTTATAATGTATCCTGGTGCCAACAGAAAGAGGCAAGCCCTTATTTAAAACATCAACATTTAGTTATATGACTGCAGAAAGTATTAGCTAATAAACTCATCTAGAGAAGGGCTGACATATCACGCATACAGAGAAACTCAAACCATAAGTCAAACACATAAAATTGTACCCTTACTCTCAGCACTTTCCTGCCTTAAAATGCAAAAAGGAATTTCCAAGCTTTCCCCAATACATGCCCCATTTTCAAGTCATGGCACTAATATTTCTAAGAGATGCTTATTCTTCATAATAGATGCACCTTGGTGTTAATAACATTAATAGCATTTCCTTCTTCACAGCCTCTTGCTCTAGCTATTATATAAAGAATTAAACCTCACATAACCTCACTCAACTCCTTCCGAACATTAAGAAAGCAAACAAACACTGCATCCATGTGCTATGAATTAAACAGCTGAAGTCATGTGTCAGTAAAGTACACACATGTAGATGTAGTATAGTTAAAATCTTGTATCACTCCTTTAACTTAATCTTATTTGTTAGCTATCTCTTTTATCACGATAGCACAATTGCACAAGAAAAACACTCCTGTTCATTTATTGCCTATCTTTTAATTAGATAAGCAGCAATATATATTTTATCACTAAGTCGTTAGAAAAATGGCAATACCTTAATTATGTCTGCAGATTCGCTCAGATATCACCAAAAGGTCAAAGAATGCCTGGAAGTAGTTTTCTTTCCATTTGAATCAAATGAATGTGAACTTAAATATTCCTCCAGTGCTAAAGTTTGCAATCTACATTACTCATCCAGCATATTTCAGGGAACTGCTATGGGCTTCAAGTCAAACAAAGTGCATCAGACTGATAGCAGTAACTCTGACAGTCACACAACGTATCTTCACAAATGGACACTAGCAATTATTACTGAGAGTATGTAATTCATATAAATCAGTTCCAATGTTAGCATAAGCTTAGCTATTCCAGTAAAGAAAAGAAATTAAAGTACTGTTCTTGTACCAATTTGTATTGTACACTGAATCTAAAAATATTACCAATAAATTATTAGAGAGGGATTTTCGAGAGTTTTTAAATTACAGTCATACACTGCCTTCAAGACTAAGGGTAACTTTTCAGTGAATCTTCTACAGAAGCGAAAACCACAAGGTGTTCCATGGGGATACAACACTAAATTTACAAGAGTAAAGGACAGAAAAAGTCAGGAGAGTCATGCCTGGAACAGTCATGCCTGATTGTTACTGTAGCCCTTAGTGGGAATGCACCAAAACAGTCTGTGTTTATAATTCTTTGCACCACCTCTCAGATAACACTATTGAGTTTCACTGAAACTCAAGATTATCACCAGTGTGAAAACTGCTCTGTGTTTTCCACATGCCTGGATGATTTGGGAAGTGCAGCTGGGAGCTTGCCACAACTCACTGAGTTTCCAGAGGGTGAATGAAAGGCATTGCTTATATATCAGGGCTTTTATACCTAGCTTGCTGCAAACAAGTCACAAGAGTCTACTATATCTAAAAGTGATGTGCAGTCTAAATATGAGGTTCACTGTCAGTTTCCCCAGTAAAGGTCTAAAAAGGGTTTTTATTCTTTGAAATTGAAATGTGTTGTGTAATACTGAATTGTTTGCTGTACAACATACACATTATAGAAATGTCAGATATTAAATATTTAACATCTCCTATTAGCGGGATTCTGCAAATGTGAGCACTAAAGAAGTAGAAAGCAATGTTTTTAAGTACGTACTCCGTATCTAGCAAAGCTACCTATCGCCATCTCTTTCATGTTTCATTGACACACTGCTTTTTTTTTTATTTTTATTTTTGGCCCCGTTGTATCGTATGCCATCTCTAATTGCTATGTAAATTTGCTTAAGGTTGCTAAGAGTGCAGAGGCAATCCCTGCTCCCCTGTGGCATTAAAATGATGAGGAATAAAACTTAACTTATTAGCAGCTCACTAAGAAAGGAAACATTCACTACAAAACCGATTTTTTCCCCCTCTCTCTTTTGGTTCCCCTGCCTTTAAACAGCAGAAAATACAGAGAAACAACCTAAGATCTGAGAGATCTGTACAAAGTGACGCAGAATGACAAGCACACATTTGTCCCTCTTTTGTCTTCCTTTTGCATCATTATTGATAACAGCCTAGATTCAGTCCAAATGAAATATACAAGACTTCCAAAGGCCCATGCTCACCACTGGAGAGTGGCCTCGCATAATAGAATCTGGGTGTTCTGGCTGATGGAAAGTTGTATCTGATCAGCAGTGTTCTCTCACAGCCGGAGGGGCTAACTGTACCCTAAGGTGCCTCAGACCCAGCACTGCCAGCCAGGTGAGGGATCAGATTGTCCTGCTCTGCTCTGCGTGACCTCATTTGGAGAACTGTGTGCGGTTTTGGGCACTAGAATATAAGCAGGACATTAAGCTATTAGAGAACATCCAATGGAAGGCAATAAAAACTACCAGTCTAGAGGGCAAGATGCATGAGGAGTGGCTGAGGTCCTTGGGTTTGCTCAGCCCAGAACAGAGGAGCTGAGGGGAGGCCCCATGGCAGTCTACAGCTCCTCACGGAAAGTGGAAGGGCAGCACTGAGCTCTGCTCCCTGTATCAGCAACAGGGTCCAAGGGAACACCACAGGGCTGTGTCATGGGAGAATCAAGCTGGGTGTTAAGGAAGGGTTCTTCATTAGTGGGTGATGGGGATGGAACAGGCTCCCCAGGGCAGTGACCAAAGCACTGAGGTGCTGGAGTTCAAGGGGTGTTTGGACACTGGTCTCAGACATAAGGCTTGACTTTTGGGTGGTCAGGAGATGGACTTTATGATTCTTATATGTCCCTTCCAATTCAGGATGTTCCATGATTCTAATTAAGAAAAAATAAAAGAAAAATATAAGTACATTTCAAGTTTTCACTTTCTATTTTATCTAATGAGAAACCTCTGATCCTCCAATTTTAAAACTGAACTAAAAATTGGTATATAGATGAGAACACTAATAGCTTACTAAAAACTATTAATAATGCAACATCAGGGGTGGAGGGAAGAATTCCATCCCAATTCCATACCAGTACGCTACCTTGCAAAGCACTAATCCATTAGCTAAACCTGTAAAGAAAATATTGTAAATCTGAAACATATATATAATATATATAAATATATATTATATATATATAATATATATATATTAAATATATATATATTAAATATATATATATATAGAATATAATCAAATATAGGGGAAATAGGCTCACACAATAAATAAGCTAGTCTCACTTGCTCGACTCCTATCATACTGGCGTTTTCAGAGATGAAACTGATACCTTGCTACCAGAATACCATCTTTTTTTCTTGAACTCTACTTTAAAATGTGACCAAAATCAACCAAGTAATAAAGGCATTTGTAATGCTGCTGGCGGCCAGCTCTGCACTTCTGATTCAAAAGCTATAGCCACTGATGTGCAGTCACATAACAGAGATAAGACAGAAATGAGTCTGGCTGAAAAAAGGAAGTGACCAGAATATATACGATGTCTTCTGCATACACCAGAGCATACACCCCTGTCAACCTGAGTTCTCCATTCAGAGTTTTTTGGCGAAGTTGTATAAAGCAGCTAGCTCCCAAACAAAGCACACAGAAACATGAATGCAATATGCCAGACAGTGGGTACACATTCATTTCTTGGAATCAGAATTACTTTTGTCATGTTACATTCACTGACCAATGCATTTCAAAAGTAGAAAATCCTTCAGAATAAGAAGCCATCAGGATTTGCTGAGATGCTGTTACCAGAATCAAACTGAGGTTGCTAGACCATATTCTTTAAATAAGTATTCACTTTAGAGAGCAAGTTGGTCCAAAAGTTTTTACCTTTCAACTAATTCTCTGTACTTCTCAATCCACTTTTCAAAGTCCAGCTTTTTTCCCCAGAGTTTGGAATGGGATAAAAGATAGAAAATAAAAAAAAGAATAATTCAGTCTGAACTGGAAAATTAAATGTTACATTTAGCAGCAACAGTTAACTCTGGCATCTTTTTATTCCTTTGTAGTTGAAATAAGTTGAAATAAGATTAATGCTAATTAACTCCATCCTAAACTTATGAGTAACACCTTCCACTCTCTCAGAACTCTGATAGGAAAGACAAACTTAATTAAAGAGGAATTCTTTTCCTTTCCAACCTCTTTATAGTTTATTTCACTATACACAGACTTTCACATTTGATTCTCTCCCTATTCACTGTAAACTGTAATTTTTTCAACAGAGTTCACTCAGTAGGTCTTTTGCAAGAAGGAAATGTCAGGGCAAAAATATGACATCGGTACAATGAAACACTTCTTTTTCATGGCGCAGTGATATTTTACAGCTGTTACTAACCATGTTAATCCTAATTTTAATAATTCTATAAGTATGGAAGACTTTGTTTCTAACATGCTTGTCGTTAACACTTCAGCTAGCCTCACAAACTCAGGAGTAACTAAACTACAAGTATACAGTGTACAGTAATTAGGTACAAAGTGCCCTAATTATGGTCTCTGTCCTTCAACTAATTGGAGAATTACCATGACTAATAAATCCCTCTGTACAAGCAACTAATGACTGAATAAGCCTTTTCAACATCAGACAGCGTGATCTTCAGACATTAATATCATAGGTCTTTGTTCTACTTTAAATATGAGAAAAACCAATCACATGAGCTTTAAGTTGAGATTAATATCTGTCAGGTTATGTAATAAACTG